GAACGACCTGCTTCACTGCCATACTGGCCAAAGTGTTCAAGTATGAAATGAAACGAGAAGGATTCATTATTATATTACTGTTTTCAGTGCACCCCAATTAAACAATTAATTTACTTAATCAGACACATGGTAGAAAATGGAAGGGTGCATTAACTAATTAGGAAATAATGATTAAGTTTTTGCTAAATTAGACTCATATGAGCTCCTGAAGCATCAGTGGTGGTTATTACAGGTCTGATGGTGCCGAGTGAAGCTCCACATCCGCTGATGCACAACCCACTGCTACAACAATCCCATGTTTAGAGGAGTAGAACGTCTCCTGACAGAAATGATGCTGGTGCCTACTCAGTCCAGAGAAATACGGTGAGCACACCTTCTACGTGGCCAGGATGCAGACAAGCGTTTCCCACGCCTGAGCTGCGTTAACAAGTTGTACATTTAACCCACACTTGATGCACACTGATCATCCTAACACCGGTTCACAGCAGTTTTTAGAGCCAATCTTCCCCCAGTTTCTCTTGGCAAATTTAAAGTTTTATCTGAGGCAGGAATTTATTTTACCAATTTTGTGCAGATATGTTCCTATTTGCTGCTGGTTGCATTTTAATTATGAGATTTATGACCATTTCTTGTTCCCAAGTGTCTCTTGAATAAGAGATGGTGATCTCAGTGAGACTACCTGATTAAGTCACATTATTGCACCTTTAAAGTTAATAAATAGCTATATTTCAGTAAAGTGATCATCATTAACCACTTCTCACAGCAAATGGCAACAAGTCTGTGTACAAACACATATAATGAAGCAGTCACAGAAGAATCATTCAATTCACCTAAAAATTAAAAATTAAAGTTGGAATCTTCTGAGAATAAAGTCAGAATATTCTAACTTTAATCTCAAAATTTTATTTATTTATTTATTTTCACTAAAGGAGAGCCCTGAAGGAGCAGCCACTGCATCTAATTAAACCAAGAAATCAATAAATAGTCATATTTTCTGCCATGAGGTCAATGATCAATAAACAATTACACCTGCTGTCATCATCAGTGATGTTTGAATGGGATGCCTGGCAGAGCCTGACACCACCTGCCCTGGAACATTAATATTAATGAAGACAAATGTTCAACAAGGACACTCATCGTACCATCCCCTCGCTGTGGGTCCTGCAGTCAGACATCTCATTCCTCGCCACCTAAGGCTTTTAGACAGAGCTTTATTTAAACACAGCCCAGAGACGACGACAAGCGCCACGGGGCCCACAGCTGAGACCACATCTACCCACAGAGCCGTTCATCCTCCTGACACATCCATCCATCTGTCCACACTGCAAATCTATCTGTAATGAATAATCATTTTTAGAAAGAGAAAGAAAAGGGAGGAACGACTGTTCAGCTGAACGGTATTGGCGGGTAATTCTGAGGATGTCAATTAACCAGCTTTCACCGTCATCATCCACGACGACCCACAGCTCGACGGCCTGGAGACACACACCCGACGATCAGCTCACTGTATTTCTGTCGCTCTGTGTTCCCGTCACTCAGCCAATACTTTTCACTGCTGCTTTCCCAGAAAGACAAGGAGTCAGGTCAGAAACCGACCGAGCTCCTGACACTGGATATTTCTATTTGCTTTATCTGAAGTGACGTTCTCTGAGAGCAGTGGGAGATTCAGCTTGAAGTCACTGACATTACAAGCAGCCAAAAGCAAGGAAGTCAGAAGTCAAAGACTGCAGACAGTGCAGTGCCGACATGGGCAGAGCCTCTGGTTTCCTTTCTCGCACAGGGAATTTTACAGGATAAGGCTGGTGATTTTCTATTCGTTGGTTATTTTCCACAAATCCCACCACACACACAAAAAAGAAACAATGAATGTGGTGTACTCACAGTAATGTGTGTGAAGCCTCTTGGTCTGTGCCTCCATTGTTGTCCAAAAACTACTAATAACACCCCAGTAAGGCACTGGGTAACATTTCTTTGTCACAAAATGCATGGGTGTGTCTTTTCTCAAAACTGAGCATAGACCGGTCCATTCCTGAACAGATTTCTGAGAGAGGCCACTGTCATCAGGGAATAACAGACCATGAAGGGGTGTACTTGGGCTGCATGTGTCACAGTGAGGCAAAGAGGGTCGTCTCCTAACTGGAAGTTTAACGGATCGATTCCCGGCTTCTCCGGTCCGCACGTCAAAGTGCCCTTGACACTGAACCCAAGTGTGTGACTGGGAGTGTGAATGGGCAAATAGTGAAAACGCTTGGAGTGTGCTGTGATGCACAGAAAAGTGCTATGAGACCACTGACCAAAGTACCGTCCACGTGAATGGCAGACCCAAGATTTCCCAGAAGAACACTGCCCAAAGCATCACACTGCCTCTGCCGGCTCACCTTCTTCCCATAGTGCATCCTGGTGCCATCTCTTCCACTGGCAAGCGACACACATGCACATGATGTAAAAGAAAATGTGATTCATTTCACTTCACTTCAGGCCACCTTCTTCCACTGCTCTGTGGTCCAGTTCTGACGCTCACATGCACATACTGTCAGTGGTGGACAGGGGTCAGCATGTTCCCTGGTTGCCTAACCTGTCCCACTGCTCGACAGGTTCCGCTGGAATAATCAGCATTATTCAGCCTGACCTGCCAATACCAATGTGTGTTAGTTTCACAGTTTTGATGACAGAGAGGAATCTTGACTCACACAGACATAGTGTATCTTCAGGTTTACAGGCCCGAGAGGTCGACAACTGGACTTTCTAAGGTCCATATAAAAGATATGAGTTGTTTATCCCAATTCCCAGAGAACTGGCAGACACAGGCTCTGCCTCAACCTAATTAATGTGTTTAGTAGCAATGCTAAATAATAGATTAAATGGCTGCTGTCCTCAGGGTAAAACACCGTTCATGCACACACATACACACACTCTCAAACTATAACAGAGTGCACACAGCCACACGCTGATTCACTCACAACAACAGACACGGAGTCTAAAGTCATTTAGACAACTGCTGCCTCCCAGGCATCGATGCAATAATCTCCTGCTGAGAAGTGCAGCTCTGACACACACACACACACACGCGCG